GAAAAATTTCATCGATAAGAATGGAGACTATTTCAGTTACTAAATGTTTTGTTTTGATATATATATGTTGTTTGGGTTTTTTCATTTAAAAAAAGCGACATTAATTTCTTGACGACCTAATAATTTCAATTTGAGGGTAGACTGGTAGAGATCCTGATGAGTAATAAAATCCAATCCGTATACCCGCGCCCCATGCTTGGTATTGCTGGCGCACAAAAATATAGCTAATAAAAAGAAGAAGAAAAAAGGCCTCATAGATTGATTTATTCTAATTCTGCCTAAAAGAATTTCAGGGGCTGCGACAATTGATAATTCCCTCTTGTTTTAACTTAAACCTTTGTATTGTTGTATCGCCAGAGGGAGTGTTGATGTTACGTGATGATTACATACCTTAACATCTGAAATTTTTCTGAAAGTTCAAGAAATCATTTGAAACTACAAAAATATAAGACATAATGGTTGTTGAAATTGTTGATTAATTGTTGTATTAGTTAATTCTGCGCTGTGAGTTTCGAGTTTGTGTTTTCAAGGAAGTAATAGAACAAAAGTAACAAATAACAAAAGAAGATGGCAAGAAAGTAACTTTCTAGCGTTACAATTAGTTGTGTCAATCGTTAGTTACCTGAAACTTGTACTAGTTTTAAAACTTGCAGTCGAAGAAAAGAAATACTTTCGTTAAAATTAAGTGGACTAGAGTTGACATTATGGTTGTTTTACCAAATATTCCTAAAAAACACATCAAAAGAAAACATTACAATATTGGTGTCAGAAGTAAGATTATATTATTAAAATAAAATAGATCCCAGACTGAACATAAAGATGACGATATGTGCTTGAAGCATGATCGAAAATTTAATGGAAATGACGAGACAGCGGATATAATGTCAAGAAGGAGACAGAAATTTAACAAAGGGATTACAAAAATAAGACAACATTTAGAGAAGAATAACGAAAAAAAAATTTGATCGAAGAAAAGAACGAGAAAGCCATAGAAAATGAGCAAAGGGGCATTAGTGAAGCAAAACGAAACATAGAAAAGAACATGAAATAATTGCAAAGGTAGTACAAAAGAACATCAAAGAAGTACAGAAAGATTATAACAACAAGGTCAAAGAAGTATAGAAATATAATAATGACAACATCAAAGAAGTCAAAAGAAACATACACAAATATATCAAAACATCTATAAACTAACCTGGCCAACGCAAGTGTCAAACAATGTACATCACTGAATAGAGTTGTTTAAACATTTGTTTAACAACAAGTATCTGTTTAACAACAACTATCTGCACCTGCCTAATATTTCCAACCTCAAACATCGTCATATGAAATTAGAGAACACATCTGGTCAACATTTGTTACTACTATTGGTGTACCAACTATAACCGCAGACCTTTCCAGGACTACTCTAGCTACATCACTAGTTCATTAAATTATGGAATTTAAAAGGCCAGTTCAATAACATCATCCAATCAAGAAAAAACAACACTATGAGAGAAAAGTACGATGGAAGGCATTCGAGCACAATATAAACGCTGTGTTGTAGTAGTTATACAAGCTAACTTTTAATAAACTTATGAGGTTGTGGAAGTGTTTTTGATACGCTGAAAAATACATGTATTTTTATTGTTTTGAAAGTCGATTGGGCTTATTTTTCTGAATTGATCTAGCAATATTATACCACGGCCCAAAGTTTTATGAGCATTTTCTCACAAATGACAATACCTGCATAGGTTATGATAGCAATGAAACATTTAAATAAAGAGTTTGTATTACCTATACTAAGCTTTATACTTTGTTAAAACTTGTAATTACACAGACATCTATATAAATGAACTTTAAGGCCCGAACAAATTAATATGCAACAGTGAAATTGTGATTGGCAAACAATGAAATATAAAAATTGAGCGAAAATCAAATTTTTAGTCAATATTTCGCTCTGCAAGTAAAAAAAAACGTATCTTCTGTTTTTTAATAAAAATATGTTTTAATCACTTTCTCAATTACAAAAGAGGCTTAGACTGTCCACATAAAGCGGAAGCATTTAGGTTTTAACACAAATTTGAAAGCCCATTTTTTCTCGATTTATTCAACATTATAACCAAAACCATCTTATAAACTGTACATGTACAGAAAAAGTGGCGAAGGAATTATGACTTTTATTGTTCTAACTTTAACGATAGAAATTTGAGTACACTGAAACAGAATGTTTTCAAGCTGAGAATTGAAAATAAATATCAATTCTGGTTGAAAATGAGATTTTTATTACGTCTACAAATGTAATAAAAAATCGAACTATGAATGATTACTGCAAAACTATTAGTTAGGTAATTTTACGTAATGAAGAAAAAGTCTGCAATTAGTGTAAAAAAAAAGACAGAAAATTTTCATATGCTTTTTATTATATACAAACAACGACATATTTTTTACAAATAGCGAAAACAACCGAAATTTCACATTTGTACAACTAAAGGTATGAAACCAATACAAAGGTACAATCTCTAACAAAAGGTTGTACAACTGAGGCTAAGCACGGTAAATTTGATACAACAATAAATTTACACATTACTTACAACACATAACCTGGTGAAAAAAACAAAACGTAATGTGTAAACAACAACTGAAGATATCTTATTAAAAGCAACTGAGTATTAAAATAATAAAAACAAATATATATATATATATATATTACACCGTTTTCTAGCAGCAAATGTATGATACAAGAAAACAAGTTTATTTCAAAACTTTTTGCTAAATATAAACTCATTTTAATATATATATATTGCGTTATTTTGTTATATTTTATATGTTTGTAATATTAACAGAGATGATTAATTATAAACTTGTTGCTATGGGAGAAAATACATTAATCAGAACTGTCGTTTCAAGAAATACTTTTTGCATGTGATCATGCGTATTACATAGGCATTTATCAAAATTGTTGGATTAACTATATGCCCCCCCCCCCCCAGATGATTGTTCCTAAACGTGTAGAAAAATTGGTATTGAACACCACGATTTTATTCGTTAAATCGTCCAAGACCCTATATTGATCAAATTATACTGCGTATTTTCGTTTATTTTAAGCTTCAACTTAAACTATGTTTACACGATTATGGTGAAAAAACAAACAATCAGCACATATTTCCTATATTTAACCTTTGTAGACAGAACAGTCCTCGGGGTCTTGACCCCAGAAGAAAGTACACAACATGTGCACTTGTCCCGTTTTATAGGTACGAGCTCTGCTCATTAAGAAAAAAGAAATAAATTATAATGAACGATAGAGATCTCTTATACGTCAACTACAAACAGCAGTCCCCCGAAGCTATAGACTTAATTTTGTCTGCTCTTAATAAGCAATTTTCGGTGGAAATCAAATGGCAATTACGACAAAAATTAATGATCGTATTGTTGAGGAATGTCTTAAAGGTACGCGCAATAAAACGATGTCATACCACACTTAAGGAATTTTATTCTTCATATCCTGCTATACACTGTATATAGAAATACGATGTTTTAAAAATAAACGTTAAGGTTTTTATCCCGTAATACTAGCAAAAATTTAACACAGGAGTAGAAGGGAAAGATATAATGCCTCATTATGGTCCTGTTATCTAGTGCAAAAAAATTGTAATTATCCCAACTAGTAATTTTTTCACTGTACTGTAAATATCAGTATTATAAGTTATAAAAAGCTTATCTTAACCTTGAAATACTTTAACAATTTAAAACTGTCTTTAGTTATCATCGTGCTTTCTCAAAATCAAAAAATTACTGTTGAATAAACCATAGTAAAACAAACTGGAACAGGGTGATTGATTTCAGGGGTATTATGGTAAACAAACTTCAAAGTCATTATGGCATTACTAACGTTAAAAATACGTAGATTATTTGTTTTTGACAATCCTTCACTTATTTGAAACACGCTTTATAATACATAAATGTTAAGTCAAAACATTTTGATAACCTAATGATTTAAGACTCGCTTCTCATAAAATATTATACAATTCAAAACATGTTAAACGGGTAATAATTGTGCCAGGACTTCAAAGAAGTGAAAGATGAAGATTCAATGTTTAAAATATATCGCTGAGTACTTAACAAATATCAAAGTAGAATTTAAAAAGCCCGATAACCTAAGTGTTTATTGTGACTTTATGTTATATTTTGAAGAAAGGCTTAGGCCCTTGGCGATCAGATAAATAATCAATACTACAATTTGTTGCTTAATTTCTTTCACATAGTTTTATAAATCGCCTTTATTGTTTCACTTTCTCTGCCTTTTGTCACTTTCAATGAAGAAAGGTTCTGTCTTTTGAAAATTAATTGGGTCATCTGGTTTCTTGAAGTATGATTTATTTACGTTTTTGATCCTATGCGGTTTTTTTTAAGTATGAGAAATAAAATCAACATACGAAACTTACTATTTTATAAAAATCATTCAATTACTTCAGATATGCAAAAATAAAATTATATAAAGGACAGACCATTTTTTTTTATAAATGTTTAACCTGATGTAGTCGTAAACGAAGAACTGAGATAATTATCAATGTATATTTTAAGCCACAACATTAATGATGATTTATCTTAGGCACTCACATAATATTGATATAAAAATGATAAAATACCAACAAGCCATATTTACAGTATTTGTTCAAAATCCTGCACTATGTTATTTTTGAAGTGATAAACTGTATACATTTATGATCTTGTATGGCACAAACAAATTTATTTATTTTTTCGTATTTAAAATACTATTAATATCATAGTGCCTCTATTTTATCTGTGCATGAGTTTCCAGCTTCTCAATTAATTTTTACATTCAACCAACAGGTTATAATTTAAACATAACCTAGCAAAAAGTGTAAAAGTTTGATTTAATAATGCAATTGTACAAGGTAATAGCTTTTGAACAAAAAATTCAACTTTTCAATAGCTGAGCCTTGGCACCAAGCAAAAAATCTTTTCAAAACAAGATATGAAATATTTTTTTCCTCATACCATGATCAATTATAACCAATGGCCAATATTTACTGAACAATAGGACACCCATTACATCACTGGAGTAGCAACTGGGCATACAAAAACTGTATCAGAATATCTTTGGAATTTTGGCCCCTTATTGCAATAAATTGTTTGCTAGATATTGTCCATGTACATATGTACAACCTTCACAGTACTCTTCACTGACTCACTACACTCATAAAAAGTTTACAAAAAATAAATAATTAAAAGTCATCCAAAAATAGTAATCTGAAGAGTTTAGATCTGAAGTTCTGTCTCTGATCCTGATGAGCCTGTAATAATATGGTTTGAGAGACAGTGTGACCGTGGATGATTCTGGTCAACAAGACCAAGCACCTGAGCTGACGAAGCATTACCAGGAGTAACTAAAGGAGAAATTGATGGAGTTCGTGTGGCCAATGGAGAAAGGGAAGGTGAAAAGCTGGGAGACATAGCAGAAGAAGCAAACGTACTTTCATGTGTGATGGGAGACCGTGGCAAGGATGGCAATGTTGTAGCCTGACTAGTGTATCCAGAACTAAGAGCAACAGGACTAACATAACAAGGTGCCACATTGGTTATCAAAGGTGGGGGTATTGTCTTCACTTGAGGATTTAAAGTTTTTTTAGGTGCATATGGAGGGGGTACACTGTCATCCTTTAACCTGGCTATCTCTGCAAACACATGGGCAAGAGGTTGATACTGGGGTCCCCATTCTAACAGGTAGTCCCAGTTATAACTACCAGTAAGTTCTTCCTCACTGTGGACAATTGAGCTTAAAGATCCTGTCATAGAAGGTTCAGGTGCATCTCCAAACCCAAAAGGTCTGGTGCCATCCATTATTGCATCTTCATCCTCAGTACTGACATTGTTCAACTTAGTGTAAATTAAGTTACTAATATCCATGCCATCCCCTTCTCCTCCACCTTCTTCATCAAACATATGCATGCTTTCTACACTGTTTGTACTAGACAATTTGCTGAAGTCTTGACTACTACGAGCATCAGGATGTGAAGTGTTAATGCCCAGCCGTGCAAGGTATTCCTGTGTATTTTGGATGGAAGTGTCTGAAAGATTATCATCATCATGTATGCCAGAATCTGGAACACCAAGTCGCTGCATTTTTTGTTGTTGCATCAATGGGCCTTCGTTAATCATTCTTATCTCTTCATCTTCAACATCTTCTCCTTCTTCAACTGAACCTCGACCACTAGATGCAGAATGGGACTGGTCTGACACTTCTGAAGTGGCTCCAGTTACATGTTGACCCCGAGTGGGTGGGTCAAAGTGGGCAATGTCATTGTAGTGTGGAGGAAACTGAGAAATTCCTGATGAGCTTGATGGAGGAGCTCTTATGTCAATAGTATCAAAAGAATTATCAAATCCTTGAGCAACTGAAGGCTTACCACTACGCTTGTGGCGCATACGAAGAAAGAAAATCATTGTCATTAGAACAATTGCAATAATAGCCAAACCTATAACTAAGCCTAATCCCCAGGCAGGAAGACCACCTTCTAGCTTTTCTTCTGCAGATGCTGTGTGAGATGCATTCAAAGAAAAGTCAATTGTTAATTCAACTGCTGCAAGAGCAGTGAGAGATTTGGGTCGGCCACTGCTTGCCACAACCACAAGGGAAATATCTTGGTTAAATGAGTCCCTGTGGTGTTCCAACTGATTATATCTAAAAAGTTCCCTTACTGTGACCACACCAGATGTACTGTTGATTTTGAAATATTTAGAGGAGTCACGAAATTTGTACATTATGCGTCCATCAACACCTTCATCCCTATCAACAGAATTCACCTTGCCAGCCACATAGCCAACAGGTGCATCTCCGGGAACTGTAAAGTGATAGGTGTTGTAAGTAAACTCTGGAGGATACTCATCTTTACTCTGTATGTTCACCTGGACTTGTACACTAGCATATTTTCCTCCTTTATCCACAGCCATGATGGTGAAGTAATATCTATTCTTTGACTCATAATCAAATACACTACCTGTTGTGACAACACCTGTTTCAGTGTTGATATTAAACTTCTCTTTGCCTTCTCCATCTGAAAGAGAATAGTTAAGTTTTCCAAAAATACCCCTATCTCCATCAGTTGCCTGGGCTACAAATACTGAGGTACCAGCTGGTGTGTTCTCTTCCACAAATTCAGTGTACATTTGGAGAGGAAAATAGGGTTCGTGGTCATTCTCATCAGCTATGTTTATGGTAACACTGGCTAGGGCTGACATAAGGTGTTCTGAATCATTGTCAGTTGCACGAACAATAAACTTGTACTCTGGCACTAAGTCATAGTCTAAATTGTCTATTAATGTGATCATCCCAGTCTGAGAGTCTATATGAAACTTTGTGTTACTATTTCCTGATGTAATATCATAAATTATGTTGGCCTGTGCAGCCTCATCTTTGTCCAAGGCCATAACCTGAATTACAGATGTGCCAATGGGAGCCATCTCTGAAACAGAAGCTTCGTAATGGCTTTGATTGAATGATGGTGCATGGTCATTGATGTCATCAATGTAGATCAACACTTCTGCAGTAGAATTCTTGACAGGGCTACCTCTGTCCATAGCCATCACCTTAAGAAACAATTTAAAAAAAAATATATATATATATGTATGTGGAGTACTACTAATACATGAATTTTGTGTGTGTGTTTTATGATATTATATACATACTTAACTTTTCTTTAAAGTTAATTCCATTAATATATTTTTGTTATGATGTTTAATATAATTTTGAATCAATTTTTATAGTATATTTTGCATTGTAAGCTTAGAATATGGAATTAAGTCTAACTTAAATCTCCTAAGCTAGCTGAACCTCGTGAGATATTATTAAGGTAATCACCAAAAACATTCTTAATAGAAACAAATGATGATTCAATGTATTCTAATTACAATAGATTTTTTGTTTACTGATTTACGATATTAAGTACTTCTTATCCTGCATTAACTAATTAGTAACTCTTTAGTTTTGATCTCCATAATTAGCATATTATTTTATCAAGAGATATTAATAATTGCATGCAGGTATCATAAATTCTGACTTAGTGCAACTTGATTGTATAATTAGTGGATATTAAAGTATCAAACTGACTATACTTATGATGTTGACTTTTACTAGTTAGTAACAGTTTTTTTCAAATAGAATATAAAAACAATTTTGTTATTTTTTATTTGTATAAAAATGTAAGATGAGATTATTTACAGAAACTTCAATAAAATAGTACCTTGAGAGAATAATTTGGAGTTTCTTCACGATCAACTACTTTAACTAAAATAATCTCTCCATTGTTGCCATCAATGGAAAATTTCTGTCCTACATTCCCACTAATTATGTTGTAGAAAATATTGCTGTTAGCTCTAGATTTATCCAAGTCAGTTGCTGACACTTTAGTCACTGTTGTACCTGGCTCCGATTCTTCTGACACATGAGTACTGAAACATTAAAGTTGACAAAGAAATCAGAGTTTATCAAAACCATAATTTTAATTAAAAAGTGTACCTGAAAGATAAGACTTATGAAAATTGTTACTCAAAATTTCAAAATATTAAACGATTTCAGAGTAAAAGCTAAATACCAAAGAAAACTGAGTTCAAAACAATATTTATCCAAATTAACATTTGCAACATTTACAAGAGTTTCTTCATCAGATTTTATATAGTTTAATACATCTTCTTTACATCTTTTATGTCATCCTCTCTGGACTTGATTTTTCATCACTAGATAAAGGTAAAAGTGACATACTGCACACACACATATATATTTAATTATGTTGGTTAACTTCCTTGTTTCTCATTGATGAATAATGATAGTCATTAAAATTATTTTAGTTATACCATAATTTAGCTCTAAACATTAATCTTTACATAATGTTTTATGATAAAATGAAAATACTTTACTTTCTACTGACCTGTAGACTAATTTTGAGAACTTTGGTGCATTATCATTTATATCCTTTAGATGAACCTGCACAGCAGCAGCACTAAAGAGGGAAGGATTACCCTTATCTTTAGCTGTCACCACCAGATGGAGAACTGGTTGCTTAGGGTCAAATGCTAGTGATTTATTGGTATGTATCATACCTGTAATAAACACAATAATTTAAAGCAAGAACAAAAAAATTGTAAATTTTAACTACATTTCAACAAGTCTTGATGTGTCATAAACTGATATAAACAGTGTATAAAATAAGATTTTTATGTTGTAATACAATGGGCCTGATGAACTCTGATACTGAGCCAAAGATCTTGTCAGAAGCAACATGTAACAAGCAATATATAGTTGAAATGCTACAATATCTTCTTTTTAGTGGAAACCTGTAGCGGGCCATTTAAGAATGATGTGATATCACATCAGTTAGTTATTAATGGATCAAGCTGTACCAGTTTAGGTCTTATGTCTAGTCAAAATTTAATTACTAATTAATTATGTTTTATAGTTTTTTAACATGTGTGGATTCATCTATATGCCAACATGAAGGATCTTGTCCAAGAATTGGTGAAAATGAGATGCAAGAGTGAGACAGTTGATAAATCTGATGTGATGAAATGTGAAAGAATGAACACCTTCTACAAAAGCTGAAGTCTCAGGAAGAAAGGCCCAGTCTAAATAAAGGAGGAAGGAGGTGCAGTGAAAGAGAGTGCTGGAAGTATCAATAGCATATACATCTGAATGATGGTGAGCACAGGTGAGAAGGAGAAAAAATAAGCATACAGAAAAAGACAAGGTGTAATGAATATGAAGCCAAAGGCCCAAACAGAGCATGTAAAACCATGTCAAAGTCTCAGTCAAGCATGGGAGTAGGACAGGGGGTTGGTGAAGAAAAAAAGGATAATAAAAAAGTGGAGAGGACAGGATAAGAAAAGCCTGACATTAAGGAGAAAGATGAGATGTAGTTGATAAAGCTGCCTGAGAACTAGTAGTGGAAATTCATGGTTGAACAGCCACGTGAAAAAGGCCAAAAAGTAGGCTACAATAGAATAGCCCAGAGTAGAGGAGAGGCTGATGGACAAATGTCAAAAATGTACCACATCTGTTGATAGACAGAGTTGAAGGATGACAGGAATAGAATATGTAAAAATCTAAACAATTGGAGAGTTCAGCCCTGCAAGCAATGGACAGGACAAATCTCACATGTTAAGAGAAGGAACAACACCTATGAGTCAGAGGGAGATATGGTTGGAGCAAACGAGTGTAAGAATGGGACAAAGGAATGGGGGGGGGGCATATACCAATGGAAAGGACAAGAGTAATAGGAGGCATACTGAAAAGGGTGAGACCAGTCTCAAACCCAACAAAAAATTTGAGAGTGGAGAGACCACTTTGCAGTTAGAACCCTGTCCAGCCAAGAGAACTGATTTGCCACCAAGTTCACAATACACAAGACAAACCCAAAATAGCAGGTCTAATATGAGGGAACAAAAATAGCCCTGGAATGGGTATCTCTCTGATGGTTGATATAATGATTATGGAATTGTTAGAGTGGATCATGATCAACCAATCCGGGAGAAGAGGGAGGAAATGGGAAAATGCCCAAGAGACAGCAAGAAGTTCAAGTATGCTGTTGTGCAGTAAAAGCTCCACTGGAATCCACATGGTCAAAGTTATGTAGTTGTTCAGAGACCCCCCCCCCCCCCATCCTGACAGAGATGCAGCTGTGATGAGACAGAGAAGGAGTTGGGGACAGCACAAGGATGCTCACCATGGTACTTACACAGTCGAGTCATTCTGACAAACTCTTGAGAAGAGGAGGAAGGGAGGCTTAAACTCGAGTACAACAGATCCTGAAAAGATGCAACTTGATCTTCAATTTCAAATGGAAGAGGCACATGTGTGCATGGCTGGAATGAATGAGTGGTTCAAGAGAAACCTGAGTTCCCCAAAAGAAAAAGAACCACTTGTGCTGGGTGTGAAAAAGAGGTACAAATTTTGGTGAAAAGACATTCCATTGTTCATAAATAAAATGGAGAAAGCTGAGCTTAACTGAGATGGAAGTTGTAGAAGACAACCAGATGTACCAAAGATTGGACAAGTGTGAGAAAAGACTTGGAAGGCTTGACAAGTTAGTCCAGGCATTCAGCACTCAAGAAGGGGCAAGGAGAAGCTAATCATCCATATAATAATGGAACCTCAGCCCCATTCTGTGAACAAGGCAGGCAAATGCCCCCATGACTTGAATAAAGACATGTGAAGCAGATGCAAAGCCAAGAGGAAGAGCACAGAACTGAAAGATCTGATCCTAATGGATGAAACAAATAAAACGACTGGAGGACAGGGCAATTGGAATGTGTAAAAAGGTGTCCTCAATGCCAACCTTGGTCATCTACAGTCTGGGTGAAAAGGAACCTTCCATATGGAACCAAGGGATGATAAGAAACCAATTGAGAGATAACAGATCAATAACCAGACACCAATCTCCAGTCTCTTTGGGAACCACAGAAAAACAAGAGTAGTAACCAGGGTTAAATGCCCTCTTGATAATATTTCTAGCCAAGAGACCTCAGACACATCCTCAAGGCACTGAAGCTAATGGGGAACAGAAGGAGAGAGAAAGGAGGAAAAGAGGAGGAGGTAAAGAGAAGTGGAGAAATAGGCCATGGGTGAGAACCTGAAGAATCCATATGTCAGAAAAATGGAGACCAAACATTGGTAAAGAGGGGCAGATTGCCCCCCACAGGGCCATACCTGACAGGATAATCACTGACAAGAAAAGCAACAACCCTGACATTGGGAAGAGGGAGGATGGGAAATAGAGGAGGAATAAAGTAAGGAGAGATAGAGCAGAAGAAGAAATATTGGCCAATGTGGAGAAAGGAAGACAACAAACCTTTTCAGAAAACCCCTCCTGAGGACAATGAAGTGTTTCAGACATAAGGTGAAGTGACAAGAGGTAACACAGGAAAGCAGTAAGAAAAAATACAAAGGCTCAAAAGTTGAGCACAAGAAAGGGAAGTAAAAGTTAAGGGGTCCATCCCCAAACAGGTAAAAGATATTCCAAAAATTGGAAAACAAGGAATGGAAATGAATAGTGGCTGTAATCCAGGACAAGAGTCAAGTAGATGAGGCATGTTGTACAGGAGTATAGGTGTTTGAGAAATGAGTTTGCATGGACTCTAATGTGAAGGAAGGAAGACAAAGTAGTTTCAAGTATGGGTTTCATGTAATAAAGTATGGGAGGAATAAAAAGGCAAATGGGAAAGATAAAGAAAAGAACATACCCGCAAAATGATGTCAAAAAAGAGAAGGAAAGAATGAGGATTTTCCACCACAGGTAAAGTTGTGACTAGTGCAAATCCTGTTGGGAAGATAGCCTGTCAAAATCAACATATCCTGATCCTGTTCAAACTGGGGAGAAGAAATCAGCTCAATGGATGGGAGGAGTAGGCCAGTTTGCATGAAGAAACCCATAACATGTTGAATGATGGCTGTCACTTAAACCACAAACGAGCCCCCAGTAGTCACAATAGTCTCAAGTCACATATTAGGAATATCATTACTGTCACAGGACAAAGCATTTCAGAATTTATAAGTAAATAAAAAATTGTTTTCTTTAGTTATATAGTTATAAAAAAAAACCAGTGAAACTTAAAACGAAAAATGTTTCATAAATTATTGCAAATCTCACCTAACTGATTAATAATTTTAAAAACACATGTATTCCACACATTGCTGAGGAAAAGAACAAAGTTGTTTGAGTGCAAGTGCTTAAGGGGAGTTACTATGCAAGGAGATTGTGTCACTCTCATATTGGCGGAGGGTTATTATCACTCAGCGATGTCATCATGTACTAGTGTAGTTCACATTAAGCACGTGATTTTTAGGTGGGAGTTAACTAAAACCTGGTAGTATGCAAATCTCAAAGGCAGATGTGCAAGTGATCAAGCTATTCCGTGTATGGAGATGAGGTATTATCTCAAAATTATTACTTTACTTGTGAAGAAAACTTGTTATTGTTCACTAAAGCACCATCTCTAAGAGCTCTGTGTAAAAGAAATCACACCTTCTCATTAATAAATAGCTTTAATTTCCACTTGTAAAATAATTGGATTTTTCCTACTTGGTATATCAGGCATAATGCTACAAGTGTTTATTTGGCAATGTACACCTTAAATTTTCTACACCTTAAGTCTCGCAGACAACTTAGCTGTAATTAAAAGCATGTGATTTTTTTTATAGATAACAAATCATAGCCTTAAACACTGCCACTTCTTGTGATACACATTTACACATTATTGATAGACATTCCTTACCAGTTTTTTCATTTATATAAAATCCTTCAACTGATGTGGACACAAGACTATAACTAATATGAGCATTTATTCCAGTGTCTTCATCAGTAGCATTAATTTTAAGCACTTCATATCCAGGACTTACAAGTTCAGGTAGATGGACCTATAAGTATAAACAAAATAACTCCATATTAACTTTCAAAACTCTGTATATTAATTACCATTGACTTCTTTCATCATACTTTTGTGCTATGGAAATCCATTCAATAGAATTTAGTCTAACTTTATATTGGATGAAACTAATATGCATTTTGAATTGAATAATATATAAATCAAAGTATTTCATAACATTTTTAGTCTTTGTAACTTCTTTAAATGCTATAGTTATTGAAAATTTTGTAAGTTCTGTTTCCTTGATTTTTTCACTTCTGTAATCTCTGTAATTTCTACAACTTTTATAATATCTTTAAACTTTAGTTGTTTTTTTTATAAATTTTTTAACGAAAACTTTTAAGTTTATACTGATTAACATTTTCTCAGTCCTTATAAACTTTCTCTTAAAATCCTTGTAGTTTATTCCATTCTATGAAACTTATCACTTATTGTGACTTTCTGAACCTCTGTGATTAATGATAACTCTTTTCTTCCTTTTCCAGAGTCAGTTGAAATGACAAATTCTGCAAAGGCTTCTCATTTTGATGTTCTTTTTTTTTTCATCTTTACATTTAACTAACATTATTAACATCTGTTTTGAAATAGGTATAGTCTCAGATCACAAGTATGTAAAATAAATTTATTTATAAATCTGACATTTCTCTTTTAATCATTATTACTAAAATTTTCAAATAAAGGTTGTACCTTACAGTGACAATATCATTATAAAATATTATCAGTTTGAATTTTTATCCTTATTCTAATGACTACAGATGATATCACTAGAATGATATCCCAAGGATTAGTTTTACCCAACTATTTAGCTTATATCCTTCTTATCTGAATGACATAATCAACTATGCTTTTCATTTAGTATACATTTTCTTTGCATACGATAATACTATATTTGCTATACACGCTGACTTACCAATATTAATAGAAGCAGTACAAACAGATCTTGATAAATTATTGACATGGTTAACAGGAAGTGCATAAAAAACTAACTTTAAAACTGCTAAACTTAGACCAAAGTGTAAAAGCTATCTTACCACTTTAGACATAAAAAAGAATGAATTAACTCAACTCATTCAAGAAACTGAAAATTAATTTGCTTGCTCACCTCATTACAACAAAAGTAAAATTGCTCAAAGAATTGATGTTATGACTAATTTAAAAGTGTCTATTCGAAAAAAATAATGTTTCAGAAATTTGTGTCACTCTTTGATATTACCATATCTTAATTACTGCATATTGGCCTGAAGTAGTGTAGTCAATACATTTTTACAAAAATGTTATAAGTGAAAAAGTGTTAAAATTATTAAATAAATTACTATGTTTGTAAAAACATTTCAAACTTTTAGTTAGAAACTATCATTTTTCTCACAAAACTATCTGCCATGAAACAAAAAAACTTAAAGACATGTATTATAGATTAAATAGTCTAAACTATGCTATGTATACTAATTGTTATTCTGAATAATCAAGTTTCTTAAAAGTGGGTATCTTTTTTAAGCATTTAACAATAAAGCTAAACATTTTCTTTTATTCAGAATGAGAGCATTAAATTTATACCTCATAAGAATTCTGGGAGAATACTGGAGCATTGTCATTGATATCTGTTACATGAACAATTAAGTATGTCTCTGCAAGATGGGCTGAATCTGAAGCTTGAATCTGAAGCTGATATTGCTTTTGTTTTTCATGGTCTAGAGGCTGGGTGAGAGTAATGTGTCCACTGAATCGGTCAATGCTAAAGATGCCACTTGGGTTCCCACCAGCAGCAAAACTGTAGATGAGAGGAGGGTTGGTATCTACATCATTTGCTGTAATTGTCGTGATTACTGTGCCCACCTTGGCTCCTAGAGAAAAGACCCTCAACTTTGACATTGACTACAACAATCGTCTCTTTCAACATTATAAAATGAGTAGACAAAGAACTAATGAGAATCTAGATTGTCTAAAGATTAGTTAGGAAATGATACAACTTCTTTCTTAGACATAGATCCTTAATCTAATGATCTTTTATGCTAGAACAGGATTTTATGTTCTTGAGAAGCTTACCAAAATTTTGTGCAATCGGGAGTTGGAAAAAAAATGCATTCTTTCGAATATAATGAATCTATAGTTTTTCAGGTAGAAATAGTTTGATATTTTATGGGTAAGTAACTTGTAGTTTTACAAATTTCTTAAATGAATACATACTTTTCACTGTCCAAAACACATGAAAATGAACAAAACGTTTAATCTATTAGGGGCAGAAATAAGTATACCTTGCAAAACTCACTCCATTTTAACAATCATGTGTACCATCTTGATAAGATTTGTAAACCCAGAAAGTTACAAACAACATTGAACACAAAATAATATAATCATATACAATGTTAATGTAGCTGACAAAATAGGCACATTTCATCATTTGAAAATAAATGTATCAGTGCAAAAAAAATATTTCAAGTAAAATTTTCATATTATAATCTCCTTTCAAACTACTACAAAGGTGTTTTTTACTAGAACATATTCTTTAACAATGATAAAGGCAGAAGAACCAAACAAAAAAAGTTAAAAATGTTCAAACATGTTTCTTAGTAAATTGCTATGAAAATGTGCTGGTAAAACTGGTAATTAAAGTCTCTTACCTTCACTGATGCTGACAACATTGTGAGGGGGAAAAACAGGTTGATTGTCATTAATATCAACAATAGTAATTCTTAGGGTACAGGTTCCTGTCAACTGAGGTGTTCCTTCATCTGTTGCTATGATTGTCAGATGGTAAGTATCTCTTATTTCTCTATCCAAGACAATGTTGGTCTTTACAATACCACTGTATGGTGGTTCAATCACAAAGGCATTGTCATGGTTTCCATCTATGATGTGGTAAATTATGTTTCCAATACCTCCCTGATCTTCATCTAATGCAGAAACCTAAATTAAAGAAGAAACGTTAATAATGATAAGTGATGACAAAAATCATTATTACAT